CAAATTCAGCAAACGCCAATGCTCGATACGTTGCGTATCGATGGTCGGTTCTTAAACCTGTGTAATTGCCAGGAAATGGATAAAATAAAAGTTTCAGAATTACTTTTGTTGACACCCTATATATTACACACTTTGATAATACTTATCAAAACAATGTATAAAACATATCTGTTAATATTATTACTTAAGAATGTACCTAATTATTACATAATCTCGGCCATAAGGTGATGTGAGACGATAATAAAAAAACTGGCACTAATAACGCATGAACCACAGAAAAGTCTGGTAATAAAGAACCTATTCCAAAGTGAGAACAATGTAACTCAGGAACTGGCTAACCTCTGCTTATTAACCGCAGACCTTAAAACCTTTACACCTTGCCTAAACTATAACAGTTTTAGTGCCACTCAGAGCTGACTTGAAATCGCAAAGATCGGGGGGACACTGACACTGCGCCGACGCCCGTCACCATGACACATAGGTTGACATGTCCTACAGTTTCACCAGCACTGTTTAAAACCGGAACGCAGTAATGCTCACATTATAACTTGATGGTAAAAATCGGTACGGTGGCATTATTTATTGACTAGTCGTGAGGATTTTTATGTCACCCGATTCTTCAATTTCTGAAAAGTCGATTTGTTTTAATGTAAGTGGATGAACAACACGAACAGTCATTACCATGGCAGCCCCTGTAGAATAGTTTATTTTAAAAGTTGTTCCATATTATAGCAACTAGATTTCTCGAACTTTCCAATTTATAAATTGAGTCATTAATTTATTGTTTTATAAAAAAGATTAAATAAGCATTAAAAACCGCACGACATTACATAAGTATTTTAAAATAACAACCAATTTACACAAGTCTTGTCAAATTTAGTTTTCCTATAGCAATTAGTGATGTCCAGTGGCATCTTACATCGGCCACCAATTTGCTGTGGTTGTGTGTACGTCATTGGAAGTAAACTGCGTCAATTTAATCAAATTTCGATAAATTGACATTTTCGGATTACAATATTTAGATATTATAAATATATAATAGAAAAGTCTTGGTATACACAGCTAATAGGCACGCACCCAGTAATGGAGACAAAAAAAAATTAAAAGCTAAAATACGGTACAACTGAGGTGTAGAGAACTTCATTTTGTCATATTGACAAAATTATATCAAGAAAATGCATTATGTTTAAAAAATGTACCACTCGTTCATTTTTAACTGACTTTAAAAAAGGAGTAGGTTCTTAATTCGACTCTTTTTGTGTGTGTGTGTGTGTGTTTATTATACGCGCTTATTTCGACATTTGTGACCCGATTGCAAAGATTTTGTTTTTGTTGGAAAGGGGGTACTTTGGTAGTGGTCCTATTCAAATTTGAAGAAAATATTTCACTTCGAAGGGTGGCAAATTAGGTGATGAATCCGTTTTATTGGATTTCACCCACTTTCCGTTAAGCGATTTCAATAAAAGTTGTCAAATAGACGTAATTCCAAAAAATTTGGCGTCAGTTTTTTTTTATAAATATATTATTTATAGACATTTTTAAGCAAATATAGATTCATCGCATTTTCTTAAGTCCCGCAGAGAAAATACTTCTATACCTACAACGTTAAATCTATTTTTAATACAGTTGCTCAAAACGTGGCATTTTCGTACTACCTTCGTGCCGAAAGTTGGATTTTTCGCACTAGTGCTTTTTACTTTCCATTTTTTTAAATTGACTATTGTTTCAAATCTTAAACATAGAATTAAAGAGGTTGTCCATTTCCATCCATTTCAAACAAAACGTAAACAAAATTGTTTGGTTAAAATTCTAAAGCAATCACTCAATAAATTGAATAAATAACACTTTCACGTATATTTCGAAGATTTTGACTTGATTTCTCATCACTTTTTTCAACAATACTCATTTGAATAGCACAGTAAAATTGTTTTGAATAGCACAGTAAAATTGTATTTGAAAAATAGTAGTTAACTACTATGACTTGTCTGTGGTTGCATAGTGCTGTACGAAAAAAAAAACATTCGGTTCATTCAATTAAAGTTTTTGTAATCGATTAGTAAATCGAAAATTTCAATCACAATTGAACGAGTATTTATGTGTGAGGGTTTGAAGGAGGATTTAAAATTAAGTTTTCGGACATTTTAAATATGCTTTTATAGGTTATGTAAGGAAAACTGCTTGTATGGCTGAATTAAACATAATTAATCGATTTGTAGTTGGTATTACAATTGACCGTCACTAAACCGTCTATCGTTGGGTCAGTGACTTGTTTGTTTACTTTTTGCTTAAAATGCATTGAAACGAAATATATTCACATCCCTATTGACAAGTGTCAAAAAGTGCCTCATAGGCTCAACTCACACTGGCGCAGAGTCGAAGCGTCGCGACGCGACATGTTTTTCGCCTATAGTATATTCATCTATTTTCCCATTATTAAGGTACGAATTTGTGTTATGCAAATATGGAGTCGCGCGTTACTTGGGCACAGTGAGGCGTCCGACGCCGACCACACTGTGATCCGGGCAGACTAATGCGAGTGTCGTCGCGCGTCGCCAGGCGTTGTAGTTGAAAAATACAACGCGATGCGACGACGGTACGATTCTGCGCCACTATGAGTTGAGCCTTATTTTGTGACGATTATAATTCGACTTCAATATTTGGCATATCGTCATTGACTTCACAAATAAAATATCGTACGAAAAGAAATTCAATCATTTTAAATGAGTGACGAAAAGTTTTTTTTTATTCTAATGTAAGTGTGCATTTGACCAAAAGTATCTAAATTTTGAAGTTAAGATTTGCAGTTCATAATTTCGAAGTAACAAATTACAGTATTTAAACCTTCATAATATGACATGACACTTGAGATTTAAAATCAACTCTATGCCTTTTGATATACGAACGATGTTCATGTCCTCTTGTGTACAATAATAAAGATTTGTGTCATTATATAAATATTAAGAAACTATTTGCCATACTATATTAAATACTTATAGGGAAAAAGCGTTTATCCTCAATTAGTACGATATTGTGTACATAACTACAGTCATGGACATATTAAAAAGAACGCTAAAAATAGGTGCAATTATGATATGAACCACTGGCCATATATACGAGACGTTTAATTTGAAAAAAGAATGGCTTCAATTGTCTCTTATTTCGGTTCAAAATTCTTTTTCATCACACTCACACACGTCATGACGTGCGGGCAAAGTCGACCATAATGTCCTAAATTATGCACACGGGCTTTTTCATTACATTATCGCCCTATGGATTTTTTAACGCAAGATTAAACAAAAAGATTTTATGTTTGAAAAATCTCAACGTATATTTCACATAAACTTGATGCATAAAAAAACAAACATTTGCAATTTAACTATCATCGTCATCATTCAGCCATACGATGCTCACTGCTTAGGCCCCCCCAACGATCTCCACGACGAATTTAACGATATTTTACTAAATTTATTTTGTGAATCAAATTCTGCAGTATTTTTAGAATTGGGAAATTATTTATTTTAGATTTAATACCTACGTTGTGGCCGATTACGTACGTGCCTTATATAACATTTTAGTTCGAGTTGTCTATGAAAAAATAGTTGACAATCCGTTTAAAAAAAACTGCTTTTTGCAAAATTCGTACATATTGTGTTGTGACGCCATGATTATTCATACAATAAATACATTAATGTTGTATCTATTTCCGCCCTAATTTACCGCCCCCTATACACAATGTACTATTATTTATGGCCAGTGATTCAATTGTTATCATAATTCGAACTTTTTTAGCGTTCCTTTAAAAATGTCCATGAGTATATAGTCACATGCATATAACATTATTTCGAAGTAGTGTACTCCGTAATATTTTTATTATTAATGTACACCCTATCTCCCTACTGGCATTGATATAAACCCGTACGTACGCACTTATATATCGCATTGTTATTATAATAGTATTATAACTCAAAATATGAGAAATTCAAGATTATACCATTATTGAACGTAAAATTTGATTCTCTACACGTCAATAAAACTTTCTTCAGAAGTAAGTAAGAAACAACTAAAAAATAACTCAAAATGAGACACGCTTTATATGATCTAGTTCTGGCCAAAATAATCCTTATTAAAAAATATAAAAGTATGTTTTCTCTTTTATTTTTAAACATATTTGGCAAGTAGGAAAGTCTAATAAACTATAACCTATACATACATTTTAATTATCTTTCACGGGAAATGAGTCATTCGTTTTTCGTCGATTCTGAGAAAATACACTTTTTAAGTTAATACACTATTGTAGTACTGCCAGTGCGATATCTCCAAATAGAGGTAAATCAAAATAAATAGACAGATATACCTAATCGAACACTGATATCAATATCTTTCGTACAAAAAACTCTGATACATGGACTTTCGCATTCTGATTATTTTCGTTAACGGAAAGTGAGTGAAATCCGGTAAACGGGATTTATTCCCTAATTTGCCACCCTTAGAGCTGGAGTAGATTCTTCAAATATAAATGGGGCCACTACTGAGGTACCCACTTTCCAACAAAAAAAAGAAACCATCGAAATCGTTTCGGAGTAATCGCGTGTCATACACTAAAAAGATACACGCAAATTGAGAACCTACTCGTTTTTTTAAGTCGGTGAAAAATAGAAAATTATAAACGTTTTGGTTCAAATATTTTTTATTTTTATAGCAATTTTTACGTAGAAGACATTTTTCGGCGAGTAACAAACATTGACCCAAGTAGGTCATAAATAACTCACGACATGAGATTGGCTCTTACGACCTTTCTTCCCCGATATTCCAACGTTGAAAGCAAAAGCGATGCCTGTGAGGGCTCTTGACATTATAGGCACATAATTGAGCACAAAACATTCAAAATACAGAATTTACATGAAGAATTGAACACTTTCTTTCGACGAAATGTGACAAATATTACAAAAATCAATAAAAAGATGACAAATGTATGTAAGTAGTAAAGACAATGTACTCACAGGCCCATTTTCCTCTGGATTTGAAGTCCAACTTATTCAAAGCAGGGCCAAGCGCGTAGATATAAACAACACTAAATACAAATTTCACTACATATAGAATAAACCCCACTGCAAATACAATTCCAAGTTTTTCTAAAGTACTGAAAGCCATTTTTATTAATTTCTATTTTCTACTAAAAGTGACAGGTTATGGTGAGAGTACACCGGTTGACACACTTCCCGCATGCGTACTGGCGGTCAAAGAAAGTGAGCATGCGCTGTGAATGAACGACTGGGGATCGGAACGACCGAGTGCAATCTCACGATGACGCCCGATTCGTGCCGGAATCTATTAACCCGCTTATTTCACCAAGACCTCACTTACCATATCTTGTCTATACAATTCAAAGCTCTCGCTTAAATTGTAGTTTTATAATGTCAAAAAACCAAAACCTCTGCGTCGGTAAAACGATCCGAATAATCGGAGTTCTTGTTAAAATTGTCGTTATGAAATCGTTCCTGAATTGAAAAGGGACAGGTATAAAATACAGTGCTGTTTCAGTCTCTCGTGATAAGCGGCATAAAAATGTATGAGGTCATATGCACACGTGTTGCTGATGGTATGCGAGACTGGAACAATTTGAATAAAAACTATTTGAACATATGTTGAAGATACAACGGCATCAAAAAATAATTAAGTAAACGATAATAACAGACTACATAAGATTTGATCAAGACCTGGAGAGTTGGATCTAAATCCCGTATTTTTCACACAAACTAACGCTTCGGGTTCTTTTCCGCTGAACTATTATATTCACTACTTTATTTTCAATTAATCACGATCATATTATTCTGATTCAGTTTTTCGTTTCCAATTTACGTTCTGTTATTACTGTTAATCTTGTAATCTTTACAGGAATCACGAAATTAATCAAGAACTAATTTTAGAACTGTACACTAAGGGTCGTATTCTAGAACTCTATTCAATGCTCAAGTCAGGATTTGAGTATGGTTTAAAGCACTCGAAATCATACTCAAGTTCCTGCCATTAGGGTCGTATTTCCAGTGTTTGTGTTTCCAGTGCAATCCTAATTTGAGCATTGAGTAGTTCTAGAATACGACCCTAAGAGTCTAAACAATACACACTACAGAATTAGATAATTACAGAAATAAATATTTTTAGGATTTAGAGAACTTGGGAGTGTAAATGTAATAGACGGGCAAAGTAGCCGTTGCAATTGCAATTGTATTGCACATTACTGCATAATATTAGGGGTTAAAGTATGAAATTGCCGTTTTATTGCAATAGGTTCTTTGAATTTTCATAGAATCTTCATGGTTTGAGGTTTTCGAATGAAACTTTTTTCAAATGGTTTCTGTGATTTTTTTTTTTTAATTTGAAACATTTGAATATCGACTTTCAATTGTTTTTGTTATTCAATTTAGACAAGAAAGATGGATACTGCGAAAATTCGAGTGATTTTTGAATACGAGTTCCGACGCGGAACTAACGCGGCAGAAACAGCCCGCAATATCAATGCTGCGTTTGGAGAGGGGTCTACTAATGAACGCACCGTGCGATTTTGGTTTAAACGCTTTCGTGATGGAAATTTCGACTTAAAGAACGAGTCACGAGGAAGACCGCCCACACAGGTGAATAACGATGAATTAAGAGAGATAGTGGAAGCCGATCCTAGTCAAACTACCCAGGAATTAGCGGCATGGTTTAACGTTACCTTACCCACAATATTGACTCACTTGCGTCAAATCAATAAAATAAAAAAATACGAAAAATGGGTGCCTCATGATTTGACTGATCTGCAGAAAGAAACGCGTGTTGAAACTTGTGTTGCCTTGTTGAACCGGTACAGAAATGAAGGAATATTGGATCGAATTGAAACATGTGATGAAAAGTGGATTCTTTATGATAACCGGAAAAGAAAAATGCAATGGCTGACCCCAGGTCAAATGCCACAACAGTGTCCTAAAGCAAAACTTACCAATAAAAAGGTAATGGTAACTGTTTGGTGGTCTCAGCATGGTGTTATTCACTATAGTTTTCTCCGATCTGGTCAAGCAATAACGGCAGATGTCTATTGTGCCGAACTCCGAACCATGTTGACAAAACTAGCAGTAAAACAGCCCCGACTCATGAATCGATCTTCACCATTATTGCTCCACGACAACGCGAGACCTCACACAGCACGAGAAACCATTTTGACCCTTCAGGAACTGCAGTTAGAAACCATTCGTCATCCTCCGTATTCACCAGACCTTGCTCCAACGGACTACCATTTTTTTCGTGATTTGGACAATTATCTACGTGACAAGAAGTTTTCTTCCCAGGAGGCAGTACAAAATGCTTTCACACAGTTTGTGCAGTCTAGATCGTCGGAGTTCTATCGCAAAGGCATTAATAACCTTCCCATTAGATGGCAGCAATGTATAGATAATAATGGCAACTATTTTGATTAAATAAATTTGTTAAAAATTTAAAAAATAAACAATTTAGATTTTCAGTACAAATCGGCAATTTCATACTTTAACCCCTATTATTATTACACACATTTTATTTTCAGTAGCAGTAGATTTTCTTGTTAAAGAGTTCGTTCAGGAATGTATTGCCACTTTATCTATTTCTGTCATCAATCAGTAATACATATGTGCGTCGATTTTGAAGGGTAAGATTCATGGGACTTGTCAAGATAATGTCTCACACCACACATGTATTAACTTGCTCGTTATGGACAAAATATGCGGTACGGGCTCAACCCTGTGCTTATTACGTAGCTCATGGTTATGTCCTTTCCTTCGTCTCTTGTAAGTTTCCAGGTGTTCCGTAGTGTAGATTATGATAATATAGATAATAGTAATTATCGTCATCATCATATCAATAGGAAAATGTAAACTGCTGAACATAGGCCTCCCCCAAAGATTGCCAGACTAGCCGGTCGGACACAACGTGCATCCATCGGTTACCCGTGCTTGTAGTAGGGGGTCGTCAGAAGGGGTTCCCGCCTTGTCGTGGCAGGGGGGCTCTAGTAGCCGTGGTCGATTTCATCCCACGGTGAAGCTAAGAGGAACCCACGGGGCCGGCCGATGGTGGTAGGCTGGCCCGAGGAGGGCGTTCCGCGCGGGGCTCGTCTGGTCAGCGGGACCGCTCGGATTTGCGAGGAGGAGGGTCGCGGGGGGAGAGACGTGTCGGTGTGTCGTTGCCGCTCGTCCTGTCCTCCGCGACTCTGGCGAGGCTGCACCGCTTTCAATGATGCAGTGGCGGCGGGGCCGCGGGGGAAGAGACGTGTCGGTGTGTCATTGCTGCTCGTCCTATCCTCCGCGGCCGAACGTGGGCGGTTGGCCCGTGGTGGGCGCTCCAAGGGACTCTCTTCGGAGAGTCCGCGCGGAAGCGCGTTAGGTGTTGCGGCGGTGCCTGTCATCAGATTCGCCGCGGGGGCTGGGGGAGCAGCCACTGAACTTCACAGTTGAGTGGATGCTGTCCTGGCCCCCATGGCCCCTGGGTAGCGGACTCGGGGGAGTTCGTTGCCCAGCATAAAGGGGCCCGGGATGGAAGGCTCGTCTGGTGTTCGGCGAGCCTCACATTCGGAGTTGGGGGACCGATGTGTCTCCCTTCTCGGGGAGGGGCTGCGCAGGGCGCGGCCAGCCGCTGGTGGGGGCGCGGGTGAGTGCAACAGCGTACCCGTACCCCCACCTACAGCGGAGAGGAGGAACACTCCGGGGGTTTAGTGCGGTCGGGCTGCTTCCCTTCAGGGTTCAGCCCAGTCCCACATAACCCCGGCTCTGCCCCCGCAGGGCCGGGGTATCTGTAAGCAGATTCCCCCGGATTAACAAAAAAAAAGGGGTCGTCCCTCTGAACGCCTTTCGGTTCGTGGTCTTCATTCGAGAACCTTTCTGCCCCAACAGCCGTCAGTTCTACGAGCTATGCCCACAGCCACTTCATCGTCTAATCGTTTGGACTATGTCGGTGACTTTCGTTCTTCTACGGATCACCTCATTTCTGATTCGTTCACGTAGAGAAATACTCACATTGCTCGCTCCAAGGCTCGTTGAGTGACTTTAAGCTTTTTTATGACGCCCATAGTAAGTAGCCACGTCTCAGAGCCGTAGGTCATCGTTGGCAATTCAAGACTTTTGTCTTCAAGGACTGCGGTATTGCGAGCTTCCCGAAAGCTGCCCAACGTTGTCTGATTTGACGATTGATCTCTTCCATGAAGATGGCTCTGCGTAATTGGATGGTTTGTCCGAGGTAGACATAATACGTAATAATTATGCAGTATAATAAATATCTTGATAATTAGAAACCCTGCTATCTAGCGCTTCCAATCAATTAATTATAATGAATAAACTACTGCATATAGGTATAGTTGCACTGATAGAACAATCCACGGTCCCTTTAACAAACTATTTAAAACTAATAACAATACACTTCGAACATTCCAATTCGAACTCAACTAGTTACGACGATACAATCGAACTCGCAACAATACAATCCTGTAATGGAGGGATTATTGAAAAGTTTCATAGCAAAGTTTCGTCCATTAATGATGTTATGAACACTTTAATCTGGATTAAAGTGGTTCATTCTGCCAACAAAATGTTGTAAGTGTACTAATGTAAGTGGAAATGTTGTTTAAATTGGTATATATGTAGTTTAAATTATTTTTTTAAGATCGACGCCCTCGAGTGGTGCAACTGTGAACGTTGGACGAGGAGTCCCGGACTCGATTTCCTATGGGACCAATTTCGAAAATGGACTTTTCTAAATTTTTTCTGACCTGGGTGTTCTGGAAAGCGCCTCAGAGTGCCGTTGCTCTGGTACTCAGATTACAGGAAAATTTGCGACCAGGTAAATTGGTGTGGCTGTCTGGCACATTTTTATTATTATTAAAACATTTCTTCTTCTTCTTCATGGTATGGTCGGCTATCATTATAGCTACTTGAGTCCGTGAAGTTGGGGCTCCGATAGTTCCGTGGTACTGATGTTGTGGTACTTAGGTTTTGGTATGGCCATGTCTTCTGCGGCTTTGGACTTTTCCTTGCAGAATGAGTCGCTGTAGAGAATATTTTTCACTCTTTTTGTCCTTTGTTTTATGATATAAAGTGACAGAACGGACAATTGGTCTGCCTGGTCGTAAGCGACACGCCTGGCCATAGCAATTGCAGTGCCACTTAGAGCTTTAAATCGCAGAGATTTGAGAGGCACTGCGAGTGCGCACGTCACCCTAGAAAGAAAGAAAG